TTTAAATGGGTCATATGATGTGATTTCCGTTTTTCCTCTCTCTTTGGAGTGTTACAAGCTCTTGGTGCACAAAGAAGATCTGTAAAGTTGCAAACACTAAAGTCTCAAATCCAAAGAGATATTCTTTATAAATTTAAGAGTCAGCCACACCTACCTAAAACAGCTTGTTCTAACACGCCCCCACATATCTACGTCACTATGTGGGAAGATTTGCATAACGCCGCTCAAATGTTCACGCAAAGAAAGAAGGCGTAACTTTTATTCTCGCTGTAGTATTGTTGTTGCTGCCGCCACCGCCATGTCGTGAAGACGCTGTGTGTTTCATTGTGAAAGCGAAACTACTTTGTTTGGTCTTCCAAAAGAGGACGATATCCGCTTCGTCATGCCTAGAGCTGATCCGTGCTGGTCGCTGAGGGAATACATCAACTTAGTGCTGTGGATCGCCTGATCGGCTTTCACCGTGGACGAAGCAGAGTCCAGCCCGGGGTCGTCACATGTGGTTGCCACTCCTTCGTTGAATCCGCCGGCCGCGCCGTTCTCAACCCCGCTGCCTCAGCTCACTCTTGCCCGCCGTGTGTTTCATTGTGAAAGTGAAACTACTTTGTTTGGTTTTCCAAAAGAGGACACGACTAGAAATCAGTGGTTAAGTTGCATTTACAACACTGTTCCAGAACAGTTCGACCTAAATATTCAGATGTGTGCAGCGCATTTTATGGAGGATGTTTCCTGATCCTGGGAGAGTAGACTACAATGCCGGCTGTTCTGACTTTTTAAAAAATGTTTTATATTTAAAGAACTTGCCTCTGACGATTCAAACGTTAGTTTTGAGCAGTGTAGAGTATGGCTTGTTGTTTGTCATTCCTCCGATCACAAATGCAGACATGGTTTATGTTTGCGCGGCGTGAGACAGTATAAGTCATTATAATCAGTAATTATGTCCTCACTGGATGCAACAAATGCCTCGTTTATGATGGGTTTTCATGTTTGCCGGGACACAGCATCACAGTATGTGAGGGGCCATTTCCGTCTCACGCTTGAGGTATTCGGCCAATCACAACGCACTGGATAGCTGACCAATCACAGCACACCTCGCTTTTCAGACCGATGAGCTTTGTAAAAATCGACGCGTTTCAGAAAGGCGGGGCATAGAGGAGAAACAATAATGTACAGTTTGTGGAAAATAATGTGTTTTTTTAACCTTAAACCGCATAAACACATTTCATTACACCAAATACACAAAATAATGTTCTTTTTAGCAGCATCATATGACCCCTTTAAAGGTGAACGCAGTGTAAAGGATTGCGTGAGTCTATAAACTCTAGGAAGGCAAGAACTGTCTCCATGCAGCACTGCCGCCTTGATTGAGTTATCTTAATGACTGTCATGTGTCGGGTGGATGTTGTGCACAAGGCCGGGCGTTGTCTCATTACCAGCTCAACCCTCTGGCCAGTGAGATGACCATAAAACTGTAAACAGGTCAGGTGATACAGGACGACCTTTTCTTTTTTCTAGTAATGCAGAAAGAAAAACAGAGAAGATAGGTAATTCTGGGAAAGATAGGCAATTATTAATAGACAAATACTAGAAATCGCAATAATAAAGCCGCTGTGTCCAAAGTTTTGACTGGTACTGTAAATTTAGATATAGACAGACAGACAGATAGATAGAATTCAAACATAATTGTATATCTTTCTTTATTTAATTTATATGTATATTTGAGTCTCTTCGCCCAGCGTGCAATGTGCGGGTGTTCTTGCGCATGCGCACACAATCACAAATATGCCCGCTGCCTGACAGACAGACGACAGCAAATCAGGTTAGACGATTCATTCAAATTTCTGTTCCAGTTACAACATTTTCTAAATTCCACGCATATTTGAGTGATTCCTAAACTTGAAGTGCTGCATTGCAGGCTGTTAAATGGCTTGACATCGGCTTGTAGTTCACCGAGTGCCTTCACAATGTGCGGGTGTTCTTGCGCATGCGCACACAATCACAAATATGCCCGCTGCCTGACAGACAGACGACAGCAAATCAGGTAAGACGATTCATTCAAATTTCTGTTCCAGTTACAACATTTTCTAAATTCCACGCATATTTGAGTGATTCCTAAACTTGAAGTGCTGCATTGCAGACTGTTAAATGGCTTGACATCGGCTTGTAGTTCACCGAGTGCCTTCACACCGCCTGCTAGCTGCAGGAGCTATTCACATTAGCTTAATCTGGAGCGTCGCCGGTTCATGTGCACGTCTACGTGTATTAAAGTCACTTTTAATGGAACCGAATACGCCACAGAGCTGTAAGTGAGCTGCATGCATCGGTTGCGTTTGCATATACTAGTGTGTGTGTGTGTGTGTGTGTGTGTGTGTGTGTGTGTGTGTGTGTGTGTGTGTGTGTGTGTGTGTCTATAACGTCGTCTGTCAGTCAGGGTCACACACCAGGCGGATTGGGACGAGGGAAATGTGTGCGTTTCATAATATTTATGTTTATGTCTGTGACATGTGAAATATAGATAGTGTTATATGCACACTGGAAGCATTAGAGCAGCGACGGAGCGCGTGAGGCGCTTCTCTCGCTCGCTGATTGGCTGACAGACTGACGTGCGTCATCATCGTTACCCTTACATTAATACGCTTTCAATACAAGTAAAACTATTAATTCCAATGACTTTGGAAGCTTATTACTCTGTTTAAAGAGACCAGATATTTATATATTATAGTTATACTGTGCCTGTACTCAAATATGACCATCCACCTGCGAGGGCCCCCCATCCTAACATTGATATATTTTCATCTATAAAGACCCACTTAATACTGTGTAAAATATTTAGTTTCTATTAGGTTAGATCATTGTGGTTTTTCTACTCACAATAGAACCATACTGTTAGATGTAATTATCTTTTTCATTACATTTGATTTATTTTTATGTTTTATTCAGATGTTTTTGTTTATGTATTTAAATAAAATTGTATTCAATTTATTTATTTTAATCAAATTTATTAACTTGTCACTTTATTTAAATACATTTTTATTTATTTTAATCAATTTCTTAATCAAATTGATTTTTTTCAGATGTTTTTGTTTGTTTATTATGTATTTAAATAATTATATTCAATTTATTTATTTTAATCAAATGTATTAATTTATCACTATTTAAAATAATTTTTTTTCATTTGAATCAATTTATAAATCAAATAGATTTTTTTTTAAGTTGAATCTTATTTTAGAAATTTTCTCAAAATGTTTGTTGACTCTGGAGATAAGGTTATGCAGTGTGACCTTTTATTTTATTCAATTTATTTATTTAAATCTATTATTATTTTATTTAAATGCATTTTATTTATTTGAATCAATTTCTATATGAAATTTCTTTTTATTTGTTTGTTTATTTTTTACTTTTTTCTAACTTTTCCTTTGACACCAGAAATAAGATTATACAGTGTGACCAAAAACTAATGTATCATGGTAACAGTAGATGTGCTTTTATGGACTTTTACATAAAATGTTCCTCTAAAGTCAGGGTTTCACTATGAAATCATGTCATTTCACTAAAACAACTGACAGCAAAGTGATGTTCAATTATTATTGACCAAGCCCGCCGGATGCACGTTCACCTGCCCTGTGTAACGTCGACCAGAGTGTTTTAGGATTTGCCCAGATGTCAGGAATAAAAGAAGGAAAATAATACTCATAGACGAGAGTTGGTGATCCCATACGTCTTTATACGTAGCTTCAAATTATCCTCGCACTCTCCGCATACATGGGGGAGAGTGGGGGGAAGATTACAAGACACACTTTGGCAGAATTACAAATAAAAATAATAAAAGAATCAGGATGCTTTCTGGAGCAGAGTATACTAGATACAGTCCGCTATATCACCAGCGCAAACGTTACCCAGGCACACCCACCTAGACAACGCATGACATCACAAGAGATGCCTTAAAGGTACATAACAAATTAGGTGGCCGTTACACCTGGTGTAAATGGATTATAGCCCCTTGACCCTTGACCTCTAGAGCACTGATTCTATTACCCTACATCAGCAAATCCAATAGAGTATTTTTGCTTTGTCCTGATAGTTTCATGTTGTTGACGTTCGATGAGCTCTGACCTCACAGCAACCCTAAAGTACAAGAGTCCAGTGCGCACGGAGAAAACAGAGCCAGGAAAGCGGAGATGCCTGTTTTTTTCCAGACAAAATCTAATGAGTATAATGAGGAAACTCTGATGAACTGATTCAGAAAGACACAAATACACAGATGGAGAATTGGATGTGATTCCCTTGAGGGTAACATCATATATTTATGTCCAGATAATTGTTTTCCCTTTTTTTTTTCTTTTGGAATGTATTTTTCATATATATAACCTAACCTAGATTTTCAGTGTACTAGAAAAACTTTATAAATAAATACATTTTTAGTTGAAAAAGCGCCCTTTATGTTTTTTAACGTTTTTTATTTATTTATTTATTTTTTAGTGTGTGTGTTTATTAGGGATGCACCAGTTGAAAAGTTTAGGCAGATACTGATAGATGATAGAATGATTTTTTATTGTTACTACAATATATATTCTTTTTAAACCATGTTAAAATTACTTAATTATTTTTAAAGTATGCATTAATATGATCATCTATTAAAGTATTTAAATTCAAATAATAGCATTTTTTTACTTTTCTGCGTCTTTACTGGTTGAAATGTTATTTTTCCAATACATTTGAATTGTGAATTCAAAACTTTCACTTACTGTATCAAAAAAAAGAAATATTGCAACCCTAAATACCCAGCACTGTAAAAGTGTATTATACCCTCAGCAAAATGTTTTTGAAACAATGGCTTCTTAAAGGCATGTTAAAGAATGAGTAAAAAAAGTGTGTGTGTGTGTGTGTGTGTGTGTGTGTGTGTGTGTGTGTGTATATATATATATATATATATATATATATATATATATAAGAAAAGTGAGACTGATTATCTCTAGGCCAACTGCTAGTTGGTCGAACTAGTTCTTAAGACACAGTCTTAACATAGTATCTATGTTTATGCAACTGGCCCCATAGGGCTGTCAAAAAATGTAATTTAAATTTAAAATAAAAATCCACATTCGAAAGCAAAAACGCTGCATTCAAATTTTAGGTGTGGGTCAGGCAGCCTTATCAGTGGCGCACGAAATGCGATGACGATGTAAGTGTCATTGCATTTGAATATTTTTGTTAGTTTATCCAGTTGAACCCACTATATGCGGCGCTGCCACGTTGTTCATTCACAATATTGCGGGAAAAAAGAATATCAATGTGGAGATGATGTTGTTTACGTCAAAGCCGAAACCAAACCGTTCACAGAACGCATATTTATCACATTTTCTAGAGGGACATCTATCACCGTTGCACTCGTCTCGCACAAAAGATTTAGAAAGCCATGTAAAATGAATGTTAGTTCAACTTTTTAAAAACATGTCTCAAGACTTTATGGAGAAAGTACTCTTTGTGATTGGTTTTCGGTCCTTTGTATTAAAATATACATACATGCATGATTCTGTTGTTTTCTAATTGTTTAAGCAACTTAATTATATAAGGTTTATAAACATTATTTTATACATGCACTTTTTTCAAAGATAGTGATGTTATTTTATTATGCTTTGAAGAAACGTGCATAATATTTTGTTCGATGCGCCCTCTTGTGGCCTCAGGAGAGAATCCAAAAGCTTTTTTCCCCCCTAACTGAAATTATGCTTTTTAAATTCAAATATAATTCGAATATTGATAATATTTAAATACAAAATTAGAATTTAGTTTTTCAGCCATTTTGCCAGCCCTATGGCCCCAGGTGTATGCTGATACAAATGCTAATATTAGCTGATACTGATATTGCATTTACATTTTACATTCATGCATTTGCATTGCATTAAAAGGATACATTCTTTTAATGAGTTCATGCATTCTTAGATATGATCACTGTTATATTGTGCATCCCTAACACTTACTGGTTTGTCATTAATATTGTCAATCTCTCTCTTTTTTTCTCTCAACAGCTGGAGAAATATGACACGTTAGTTGACCGGCTAGTTTCTCTCTGTCCTTCTTTGTGCCGTTTGACGCTTGAGGTCAGAGGTCATGGCTGCGGATTGTGGCATGTTCGTGGACTGGTCTCAGATGGGCGATGTGAGTCACGACGCGGCTCCCGGTAAGACCGAATATAAAGACTTAAAGGAGCTGAAGCAGCACGCCCGCTCAGGCCAGTGGGCCAAAAATCACAGCCAGCGCTCGGCCGTTTACCAGCAGCTGCTCAAAGCGCTCCCGTGTCGCACCGTCACGCCGGACGCCGCAGTCTACAGGGATATCGTAGGCAATTCCAACTCCAAGTGCAACCCATCCGCTTACCCATTGCCAGATTTTGTGGACGGGACGGCGGTGCCATGCTACTGTCTGAAGGCCGAGTCTGTGGGATCGGTGCATGCTGTCATTTCTTGCATCGCAGGGCAGTTCCCAGATATATCGCACTGCCCGTCTTTACCAGCAGTGACGGCGCTGCTGCTGCACTGGAGCGCCGATGAAGCGCAGTGCTTCGAGAGCGTCAGTCGCATGCTGGCCTGCAACGAACCCGGGCGCCGTTTATTAGATCAGACTTTCCTCGCGTATCAGTCGGCCTGCATGACCTTCGGCGACCTCGTGCATAAATACTGCCCGGCCGCGCATAAGCTGATGGTCGCCACGGCGACAGACGTGCTGGAGGTTTACTCCGATTGGCAGCGATGGGTTCTGGGTGACCTGCCTTTTAGCTTCGCTGCACGTGTGATGGACATCTACTTGGTGGAGGGGTATAAGGTCCTTTACCGCGTGGCGCTGGCGATACTGAAGTTCTACCGCAAGCAGCGCAGCGCCACCGCAGGCTCGGCCCTAACCAAGCAGGACTCAGCGGCGGTCAGGAGCGATATCCAGGCATTCGTGCAGAACATCGGGAAAAGCGTGACGCCGGAAAAGCTGCTGGAAAAGGCCTTTTCCATCCGCCTGTTCAGCCGGAAAGAGATCATGCTGCTGCAGCTGGCCAATGAGAAATCACTCCAGCAGAAAGGCATCACCGTCAAACAGAAGAGGTATTGATGACTGTTACGTTACATGATTGACTCACTTTAGTACTGTACTGTTATTTATTTAAATCAAATTTAATTAGTTTTTATTCAAATGTATTTTAGTTTTCATTAATTTATCTATTTTTTGTTTTTTATTATGGATTCCGATACTGAATAAAAAAATATATATATATAATTTTGTGATAAAAAAAACCCATATTTTTTAATCTCAATTCTGACTTTTTTTAATCACAATTCTGACTTTTTTTCTCAGATTTGCATCATGTAAACTCACAATTGCAAGAAAAAAATGTCAGAATTGCGAGATAAAAAGTTGCAATGAAATTTTTTCCCCCGTATTTTATTATGTATTTAAATCAAATAGAATTTATTTGTATGTTTTTATTGTTTGTAATGTTTTTGTTTAGTTTATTATTTGATTTCTTTATTTGTTTATGTATTTAAATCCAATTTAATTTATTTTAATCAAAAATTTTAAGTAACTGTTATATATTTGTTTAAATATATATCACTCAGCAGCGTTTCTGTGAGTGTTTTCTATATTTCTCTATAATAAATAAATTGTTCTAAAGGCGTGTGAATATTTACAGTATGTGCTTGACATGAAATAGAAGTGATTTTAAACGTCTTCTGCTTGATTTAAAAACTGTATTTAAAAACTACACAAGTGGATTAAAAATGTAACAAAATATAACTTTTATTATTAGTATTTCTAAGACTCGGTTTAAGACTGAATATTACTGTTCAAAAGTTTTGTGTTGTACGATATATATATATATTTTTTAAAGAAATTAGTTACTTTCATAAAAATATGAACACGGCTGTTTTCAACATTGATAATAATCAGAAATGTTTCTTGAGCAGCAAATCAGCATATTAGAATGATTTCTGAAGATCATGTGACACTGAAGACTGGAGTAATGATGCTGAAAATTCAGCTTTGATCACAGCAATAAATTACATTTAACAATATATTTGAATTGAAAATAGTTGTAATTATTTATTATATATATATTTTTTTTTTTTCATTTTACTAGCCCCAAACGTTTGAATGAGGTCATGAGACACAGTGTAGCATGCTACTGTTTGAAATGTTTATAGTAGGTAGTATACAGTACTGCAGGGTTATTTAAATTATTTACATTTTAAGAAGCAAAAATTCAGTTTTTCCCAAAATATTTGTAAATGTATGATGAACTAGTTTTGTTTCATCTGTAACCAGAAATCCAAAAATATGCCAGGTCTAATAGAGCCATTCAGGCCAATTTCAGAAGACTGATTAATCCTATTGAATTTTCTACAGGTTTTTACAGTGGTGAATGGCGATTGTAATTATTTTTGAGTGAAATAAGGTCTGTGGTTATTTTTGCACACTATGTAAGATGGATAGGAAGTGTGCTTGGATGCAGAGAAGTTGTTCAGGATCTCAGTTAGACTGTGACTGACGTGCCTCTCATCCAATCGTATTCCAGGTGTGTGGAGCCTTCCTGTCCACTGATTGGGAGGAGCGGAAGAGGGGCGGGAACAAGCTCAGCTTCTTCGGCACTGGAGAGTGTTTCGTCTTTAGAGTACGTTCTTTTCATGACATTTATTTGTTTATTTGCTAATAATAATATAGGTAAATAATAATGTATGACACAAATAATCAAATTAAGGTATTTGGGGTCTTCCTTATGGAGTATTCCGGAATTATGATGTTACTTATCCACTAGGCGGCACTATTTTCTGGAGTATTAGACTAGATTGCAGTGCGTTAGTATGTGGAGTTCCTCTCATCCAGCATAGCTTTATCCTGTCACACTCTCAGAGGAATATTTTATAGCTCTTTGGTAACTCAAGCTATAATGGAGTTCTTAGTTATGTTTATTTCTGTAAAAAAATATGTTTCTGCTAAAAAGGACACAGATTAATCATAGTTATCTTACTGTGATCGAGCTATTCAGTTATCGTGGATTCAAAAATATTTATAATAAACACATTAATAATATAAAACATAATATATAATATATATATTATAATAATACATAATGAGCATATTTATATAAATAAACATTTACGATACAAATTACATATTTATACAAATAAATGCATACATATTATATATAAATAATAAATCAATTATTATAAATTGTTATTTATTATAAATTAAATAAATAATGAAACAAAAGTGAGGTAAAAAAAATATTTTAAATTCTGCTGAAACAAGGATCCAATCAAATCAAGTCTTTGCAAATCAATGAGACATTCAAGTGTAATTAGAGTCTTATTCTCAAGAAAAACATCTGAGAAGCTGATGTTCATCCAAAAATTCCATTTTATATTATTTATGTCTAAACCGTTGAGATATTAATGAGATTACATTTAGCATTAGCTATTTCTTGGTGTTAAATTAGTCCGTTGTTTTGCCAACAGCTGTTGAATAGGTTTCTGCTGGTCATTTGACACATTCTCACATGACTGCTACAAGAAAACTAATCATATAGATATATTATTTATGTCTAAACCGTTGAGATATTAATGAGATTACATTTAGCATTAGCTATTTCTTGGTATTAAATTAGTCCGTTGTTTTGCCAACAGCTGTTGAATAGGTTTCTGCTGGTCATTTATGACACATTCTCACATGACTGCTACAAGAAAACTAATCATATAGACTTACACTGCCAGTCTAAGGGCACAATGTTTGAATATTTTAGCCGTCCAAACCACAGTTTAACCACCGCAGCATGTATTCCTATGCTCTGACCACAAGACTAACCACTGAAACGGTGTGGGTGTTGTCGTTGTGTGTTTTCAGAAGTAATGTGTGTGTTTCGTGTCTTGTTTGTTTGTTTCAGATGAAGCCGGAGATGGAGCGTTACGAGTGGGTGGTTATCAAACACCCGGAGCTGGCGAACGCGTCTCAGGCCACAGATGATGAACAGACCGGAGCGAACAACAACAACGGTGGGCTGCAGTCTTTGGAGAAACCTGCAACAGACCCGTCTCACCTGTCCCCCTTTCTGTCCGCGCGACACTTCAACCTCAACTCAAGGAACACCTCCATGTTTATGGCGGGAAACATCGACTCCATCATTATCGGTGAGTGAGATGCTCCTTTATCACTAATCTGATTTCTTTATTATTATTATTTTTGTCTTCACTTGAAATCATTTACATTTAGTAATTTAGCAGATGCTTTTATGCAAAGCGACTTACAAATGAAGACAATGGAAGCAATCAAAACCAACAAAAGAGCAATGATATACAAGTGCTATAACAAGTCTCAGTTAGCTTCACAGTACACGTAGTAAGTTTTTATTTATTTATTATATAATAAATAAAAAGAAAACCGAAAGAATAGAGCAAGCTAGTGTTCGAGGCCTTTTTTGCTTTTGTTAATTGTATAATAAATAAAAAGAAAACAAATAGAATACAAATGATTAGAAAAGCTAGTGTGTTTTTTTTAAAGAAAACAAGCAGTTAGTATGCTAAATGAATGGAGTGCAAGTCTAAAAGGGACAAGTTTTAGAATTAGAATAGAATTAGAATAGAGAGTGCTAGAGTTAGAGGGTCAAATAAAGATGCAAGTGATGTTTTTAGCCGATTCTTGAAAAAAGAAAAAACACCATGAATATTTTTACACAGGTTATAAAAGGTGCATTTCAATCTTCATATTCAAATTAGTGAATAATTACAACGTTCAATATAATTCTGTTGCTGATATGAAATTAACCAGCACAATGAATTAATGAGCTTTATATTTGACAATCAAGTTTCCTAAAAACACTGTCAGTAGAGTTTCATATGAGGCTGTTAAGATGGAAATATTTTAATTACAAGTCTAATTTAAACTTCATTAGCAATATACTATATATATATATATATAAGCTGTATTTTCAGCATCATTCCTCTTCAGATTAATGCTTTTCTTCTGAACCTTCTATTCATCAAAGAAACCTGAAAAAAAATCTACTCAGCTGTTTTCAACATAATAATAGTAATAAATGTTTTTGAGCAGCAAATCAGCATATCAGAATGATTTCTGAAGATCATGTGACACTGAAGACTGGAGGAATGATGCTGAAAATACAGCTTTGAAATCAACGGAATAAATTACATTTTAAAATATATTCAAATAGAAATCAGTTATTTTAAATAGTAAAAATATTTCACAATATAACTGTTTTTGCTGTAGTTTGGATCAAATAAATGCAGGCTTGATGAGCAGAAGAGACGTCTTTAAAAAACATTATTTTTACTTATTTGCGAGTAAATATTGCCGCCTAAAATATTGCTAATAATAAATAATTTTTTATTTAAAATATTTTCTGAATTAATAAAGTGATAATAATAAAAATGTGTATATATATATATGCAAAATAAATGCACTTCACAACTGAGGCTGTTTGATCAAAGTTATGATTTATTTTATCAAGCAATCAGCTTTAAGCCATTACAGAGCAAGTACATATGAAATGTTTGTTTTGAATGTTGTAATAACTGAGAGATATCTTTTTTTAATCCTAGTTCCTCTTAAATCCAATTAGCCTCGGTTTCTTTGGAGTAGTATAGAAAGACAGACGGTCAAATTTAGACTAGCTGATTCTCTGTAATGGATGTATGGTGTTGTTTGTGAAGGAGGAGGTGAAGGTAACGCTCTGTACATCGACTCGGAGCTGAACCACGGCCGAACCGAGCACTGCCTGACCTTCGACAACCCGCCGCTGTGCGCTGAGAGCTTCCAGATCGCTCTGCTGGAGGTTTGGGGCTTCAAAGACGCCATGGCTTCATAAGAGCGGCTCCATCGTGTTGTGATAGACGTCCCTTCATGTAGGTTGTAACAGAGACATGATGCTCCTCCAGTGCACTAAAAGATGCGTCCTGAGCTCCAGTGAAGATTAAGTTTATTGTATTATCCATTCAAAACATATCTCAAGGTTTATTTTGATTCTTTTCATATCTTTAGAAAGCCTGTGTTGATCTAGTCCGAAAATTCGAGAGGTTTTGATGTAGGAAATGAAGTTTTGTATTGAAGGATTCAGTATTTAGCATTTTCTGCAGTTATGATTAATATCTAAACAAAAAAAGAGGAGCAGAACAGTTAAATCAAAACCAAGCCTTTATTGATGTGATTCCAGCAAAGTGTCAGATATTTGTCGCTGTCATCTCTGGTGCTAAACACACCGATATATCATTGTTTTCTCATTTCAGTTGTGAGAAATCGGTGAGGGTCATCAAAATGTTGTTTCCTTTTTATGCAAAATATAATTTGTCTTTTCATTATGGGGTGAAATTTATTGTGTATATTTATCCATTCAAAACATATCTCAAGGTTTATTTTGATTCTTTTCATATCTTTAGAAAGCCTGTGTTGATCTAGTCCGAAAATTCGAGAGGTTTTGATGTAGGAAATGAAGTTTTGTATTGAAGGATTCAGTATTTAGCATTTTCTGCAGTTATGATTAATATCTAAACAAAAAAAGAGGAGCAGAACAGTTAAATCAAAACCAAGCCTTTATTGATGTGATTCCAGCAAAGTGTCAGATATTTGTCGCTGTCATCTCTGGTGCTAAACACACCGATATATCATTGTTTTCTCATTTCAGTTGTGAGAAATCGGTGAGGGTCATCAAAATGTTGTTTCCTTTTTATGCAAAATATAATTTATGTCTTTTCATTATGGGGTGAAATATGACCCCTGGCATTTCTCATGATTTTCTCGATCAAAGTTTCTCTGTCCCAGATCCCTCTGTTCTTTATGGAAGCCCGTCTACTTTTGCAACTTGTTTTCTTGCAATTGCATGATATAAGCTCACAATTGCTTTATGAAGTCAGAATTGCAAAATATAAACTTACAATTGCGTTGCGAGTTTATATCTCGCAATTCTGACTTTATTTTTCGCAATTGTGAGTTTATTTCTCTGAATTGTGAGTTTATATCTTGCAATTCTGACTTAATTTTTCAAAGTCATTAGTTTGTAACTCGCAATTCTGCATTATTTTTCGCGGTTGCAAGTTTATCTCGCAATTCTGTCTTTATTTTATTGCAATTGCAAGTTTATTTCTCCAAATTGAGTTTGTCGCAATTCTGCATTATTTTTCGCGGTTGCAAGTTTATCTCGCAATTCTGTCTTTATTTTATTGCAATTGCAAGTTTATTTCGCCGAATTGTGAGTTTGTCACAATTCTGTCTTTATTTTTTGCAATTGCAAGTTTATTTCTCCGAATTGTGAGTTTGTGGCAATTCTGACTTCATTTTTCAAAATTGTGAGTTTATAACTCGCAATTCTCCATTATTTTTCGCAGTTGCGAGTTTCTCGCAATTCTGACTTTATTTTTCACAATTGCGAGTTTATTTCTCCAAATTGTAAGTTAATGTCGCAATTCTGACTTCATTTTTCAAAATTGTGAGTTTATAACTCGCAATTCTCCATTATTTTTCACAGTTGCGAGTTTATTTCTCCGAATTGTGAGTTTATATCACAATTCAGAGAAAAAAAATCTGAATTGTGAGAAGTCGAAATGCCTTTTTTTATTTTTTATTCAGTGGCAGAAACGGGCTTCCATAGTTCTTCTATGCAGCTTTGTGCCAATTGGGAAAAATCTAATGTACAAAGAGGACCAGAAAACATGAGCTCTTCAGAAACCTCCAGTCGAAACACAAGTACTTCTGGGGCATTTAGTGAGTTTCAACGGCATTCCAATGTTCTTTTAAATCAGAAATCAACATTCTGGCATCCTTTACTATTATTATTGTCTTCTCGTTGTTCCAAACTTATGACTTTCTTTCTATAGTGAAACACAAACAGAGATTTTGCTAAATAAAATAGGCTGGATTTTTTATACAGTTAAAGTCAAGTGGTCAGAGCTGTTAAGCTGCTAAAAGAACAGAAAACACCATTAAAGGTACGTTTAAGCAAAATAATAATAATGAAAAATATATACTACTGTATATTCCACTTATACTATGCACAATAGATATTTGTGAAGAACAGACATCGTAGATCTCATTTCTCATTTACACAATCTGCATATTCATGATTTCAAACCTGATGAATATGCGCATCAAATTTGAAGTTTAACATTTTTGGTGATAATTTGAGTCTGTTTTCACACTCTTAGTTCTTAGGAGACTTAAAATATAGCAATACAGTCCTAAAAAAATCCTAAAATAAAAATTGTGCACGTATTAAGGAAAGTCATGCAGTTTTGGAACAATATGAGTGCGAGTAAATGATGATACAGTCTTAATTTTCTACATGTTACATGCACTGTATCCAAATTAATTTCAGTAATGGACTGTAATGTACCATATCACTCCGTCCAAATCCTAAAAAAAACCATGCATGCTTGCAAAAAATTTTTTTATTTAGCTAAACAAATGTTTAATGTATACAGGTTGAATTACAATGTAAAAAGTGTAGTAGAGATCCAGCTTTTTGGTAATCGTTCAATGGTCTTTGCTTGAATTATATGTATGAAAGCATAATCAGCACTATTTTAAGTGGGAAGTATTACATTTTATGAGTTATCTTTTTCTTTGCACTTACTGAACGTATTTTAAGTTGCCGAATGTTAGTTACTCATCTATGAATCGGTATCAGTAATATATTGTTTGTTTTCAGTTTCTGTGTATCAGTTAGGATATCTTCTGCTCTTTTCTGTCATATCTTTGAATTGGAGATTCAGTGATCAAAGTTGGTTGTTGACGAATGTTTAATGTGCATTGTGATGTGTTACCATATCAGGTGGTGCGTTTGTGTGTTTTGTGTCTCAGGTGGAGCAGGCCGTCCTGAGTGTGAAGTTCAAGTCTTAAACATGCAAAAACATTTGGGTAACAACCCTAAATTATAGTGTCAAACATGTAGTGGTCTAGTATCTGCTCATAGAAGACGTCATGTTTCTATCTTTCAAGCTAGCGATCAGTTGTGATGAAGAATAAAAACTGTGCAAGCTGTCATTAAAACGTTTTTTGTTTAGTCTTTTGTGGATGTAGGTGTCTAGTTTTTGTATTTTTTGCAACAAAGTCCCCACAGTCCTGGAAAACTTGCAAATGTCTCAAAATGTGTAAAACTGTGATTTACGTGCCTGGAAAAGTCATAGAAAATTCTATAGCGACTATGCAATTTCTAGCTGTACTCTAAAATTTGTCATTAGATATACATACATTTTTTTGAGTGCAATATTGCTATAAAATGAATTGCATTCAGAAATGCTCAACAATTGGACGTTCAGATGAGAAAAGTGTCCTTGTGAATGGAAGTGACATTCTCGGCTCTCTTCTGGTCTCATGATATGTGTGTATCATTGACCTTATAACGCAGATTCACCCCACAGCTAAATGAGACCAGACTAATTGATCTTCCATCATGTGTTCACCAGGCATGCAGACACTGACACTTGAAATAAATATGGCATAATTACGGTAGCTGGATACATATGATACAATGCCATTTATTATAACAGATATAGTTATATATATTTAGTATATTAATTTAAAAAAGTTGCATTTAACATTAATAAAAAGATCTAATGAGGACCTCATACTATATGAGCTCATGTTGATATATTGTGTGTCTATAGTAGAGTCTATTTCAGGTCTTGCTGGCGGTGGGCGTGGCCTGTGTGTGACGTCACTGCTCCGCATGACCTTCATCTCGGGAATCCTCATCCTCTGCATCACAGTCCACTGCGTGGGTGACATAATATCACTTCATTATAAAGAAGCGTTATTATTAACAGCATGCAATACCCAAGGGTCATGCTATAGAAGTCGAAAACCGTTAAATGGACCAAAATGATCTTTCTGAATAATTAAATATCTTGAAATGTGTCGCCTGCAATGTGAATAGGACGCCCATTAAAAGGGTTTCTCATCAAGTCACAGAGCCAACACAGCTGCAATTAAAGTATAATGTATGAAATTACATATTACCGAATGAGCAGTTATCATACTGACAGTGTTTTTGCAGACAGATTGCAAATAATGCTTTTATAAGTGCATAAAACCTTCTGATCTTTAAAAAAAAACTTAATACAGGGATTTTAAAACACGCTGTTCTGCATTAGATTGCGTCCGTGTTGTTTTATGTTGTTGAAATCCGTACTATATTTACCATTGAGGCTAGGATTGCAATGATTTTACCTGTCAGTATAAAAATATTTAAATATTTATTTAAAATTTAAATAAAATGAAATGTATGCAGTAATTTAATTTAAAGAGTATAATATTGTTCACACCCAGATTCTATTCCATGGATTTGAACATCGTCAGTATTAAAGGGAAAGCCCGCAGCGGAGCGTACTATCATCTCGCCTAATAGGGGAGACCACAAACACACAAAACCACAAAACGTTTAAATCCCTGTGTGCATTGCACCCAAATGCTTTCTATGTAATGATTTTCAACGGTTTTTATTTTACATGCATTCTCGGAGTCTATTTGAAAAAGTTTCTCCGCGCATTCCTATATTTCCACGATCTCCTCCCCCTCCAGGACTCGGATGGGATTTTCCTCGCGGTGTGTCAGGTGGCTTTATCGGCCATTTTGTACCGCAGATTCATCCTACAGGATCCGTTAGGAGCAGTTTCCATCATTCGGTTGGGGTTTAAAACCATTGTTCCGTACCAAACCGTAAATCCCCAGAACCCGGTTCCCGTCAGTTTGTACGGTTCTGCCCTCTCCAGCAGCATTAGCTCGGTGTCACTGGGGTTTTGAGGTGAAATTAGAGGAATAATGTCGTCGGGAAGCCCTGAATACTCCTCGTTCTTCGCAGTGATGGGCGCATCAGCAGCGATGGTCTTCAGCGGTAACATTTTATTTCAAAATTAGTTTAACATATCTATTAAACATTTGATTACTATGCACATAATTATTTCATCTTCATTGTAATAAAAATCTTCCTCCGTTGGTTACATTATTCGTGATATCTGAGGAAATGTCATTCAAATTATCGGTGTTATTAATTATTGCTATTATGAGAATAGATACACTTATTTATTTAACACCTTTTTATAATTTCTATTAATAATCACCTTCAGATCTGACATAAAAAAATATGTCTGCATCTTTATAATCCAATCCTGTCAGTGCTGGTTCTGTTATTCCTGGTGTCGTATGAAATATTGTTAAAAATGTTATTAAATACGTGCTTGCCAACATTTCATATTAGTTGACATCTGCTTTCTCATAATGATCGTAATCCATGTATGTGCCAGGCGAAAAATTGCTGGTGGATTATTCATTATTGATACTATTGCAGTGCATGTTTATTGATTTTAAAATATGAAATATTTTCATATATTTATTACACGTCAGCAAATGTAGCTTAAGGCCTCTGATTTAACCAGCTATGGGAGACAGTGATTCCCTGGTTAGGGTAGATTTAGAGATTATATCTTTTTTTTTGCAGGTCAAGGGATTATTTACAAGGTTAAACTAGTTTTATTTCACAGGTTAAACAGTTTTTTTCCACAGGTATTGATCATCACTCAGGTTTGATTGGCTTCAGAGGCTGAACTATTGAATTTAAGGTGGAGCCTGTAGTTGTGCATTAGGCAATTATATTAATGTGACCCCAAACCGAAAGGTGTTCTAATGCATATTGCATTAAGATTAGTTTTTAGTCATTAACAGCTTTAATGTGATTGTAAATGATGATGAGCAGGATGCATCGTACCATCCGTCACAGAAGATGAAGCCCTGTCCTGAAATAGATAGGAAAATCTCAAAAATGGATCTCTGGTGGATTTTAAATAGATGCATTTTTAGTAATCGCACCTTAATTTCCCGCTAATTTTCACAGGTTGTACTGTGCTGCGGAAATAGTGCTATGCTGAGACGAGCTGAGATGTACGTGCAAATTACAGTAGCGACTCGCGAGGGACGTCACGACATCAAATGCATCTGTGTGTGTTTCCAGCACAACTGTGTTTCATGCTGTTTATTCTCCACTGGACTGTTAGACCACACTTCAGGCCACTTACAGGTTATCTGTAACGTTATCTCCGTGAATGTCAGTATCAGTAATGCAAACAAACTAATACCGCAGCTGGTGTGTGTTTGTTTAAAATGCGTACAGTTCTGGCTGGAGAGAGTGTATTTTTCTATTAAGTGAGGTCAGCAAATGCTTTGCCAGGCCATTTTGCGTGTGTCTTTGCGATTGAACAGCTTTCTTAATGAGAACGGCACCAAACAGCAGCATCCGTGTCTTTGTGAGTCAGTAACGAAGGGTTTCTTTAGCGTGCGTCCAGGTTCAGTTTGTCACTGAACATGAAAGCGAAATGCAGAGAAGAAACAGCTGAAGTTGATTTATTATTTATGTATTTGAGGAATCTGCTGCTTTAGATGTGAAATGCAGAATAAAGCTGTCAACCTCTCAGTTCTGTTTAGTGTTAAACTTGAAATCTAAATTGTCTTTAATTAGGCTACTTCCATAATTTGTATTCTAGCTATTAAGGCCTGTTTGCGCACAAAATTATAAGTAGCCTATAATGATGGTTACAACAACAACGGTCTTAGAATCCTCACCAACAGCCAATAAAATTATTTATACTAAGAAAAAAGCGCTTCAAATTCTCCAGCTCTTTAAAGTTGGATGGATTTTGATTGGTTGCCAATGCTTTTATGGTTCATCAGCTTCATTAAAAATAGATATTGTTACTCTGTGCAGTTATAGTAGGACTTTTTTTTATTTTATTTATTTTTTATACATTTTGTTACTGATATCATTCTTGGAACAAACAGGCCTTTATTGTGCACATTATTTCTTTTAAAAACGTTCGTCTTCATAAATTGCTTCGCTTCAAATTACTTTGTTTCAGGTGACATCATCAATGCCTCTTATTTTTAGCCCCGCCCCCTGACCATCTGGCTCTGTTCCAGTATGCAACGCCCCTTTTATAATCCAATTAATTTTGGGTGGTTAAATCAAGCTCCGCCCTACATTGTATGTCCTGTTGTTCCCACAAATTTGGGATTGTCCCAATTGTAAGGTAAAATAGGTTTTGAATGCAGTTTCATGCTTTGTGCATCTAGACAACAAGGTTTTGTTTGGCTGTTTTAAAAGAAGTTCTGGGTTTTTTATAGCCCAGATATACAGTTATTAGTGCCCTTAAAGTGCATGACTAATTATTGTCTGTAACCTTGATTCATTTCAATTTCTTTTTTTTGAGAGATGAGTTTAAATTGTTTTGAGCGGTGATCTGCATTATGCCACAAATGCTGTCGATAGAGCTTAACTTGTAATGAACCCAAAACATTTCTTTATAATGTCCAGGGCCCTCATTTATAAAGAGTGCGTAGAAAAGGTTCTATATTTTGTCCTACGAATGAAATTTAGAATGTGTGTAAGTACAAAAAAAATCTGTATTTATCAAACGTGCACACCAGTAAGTAATGATTGTTGATAAATCCCACATGTTCTTAAGCACCATGCTCGTTCATGTTCATGGTCATTTGCATTCAGAAACGCCTCCAATGAACCATATATAGTGACAACACCTCCCTTTATTATCACGTGAACGTATACGTCCTCACCGAAGTCATGGCAAAGAAAGCGGTACCGACTGAGAAGTCATTCTGTGCTCTAACTAAACAGATCAGAAAAAAAACGCGTTCTCTGCGCAGCGCATGGTTCGCCAAATCTTCCAGCAAAGCGAGATCAGCCATGACCATATAACTACATTTCCAATCGACTTCCCAACTCTCATTTATAGCTTTTCACACTAATTGTGCAAATGTTTAGCTTGCAATATGAAATTATTAATTGAGTATTTGCAGTTAAAAGACACAGGACACATGCGGCAGCACTTTCTTTTTGTAGTATGGCCATTCTACCACTAGATTCTCTGCGTAAGCATGCTCAGAGTTGTGCTTACATTTACACACATTCCTATGTGTAAGTACAAGTTGATAGATCCCACACTTTGCGTGAAACTGTTCTTACGCACTCATTATGCACACATCTGTGTGTACGCACTGTTGATAAATGAGGGCCCAGGAGTGAGCAAATTAGATGGTTGTATTTGATCTCAGACATTCCTGTGAGTTATTTTGTCATTCATATATTTACTCGTGGAATAAGTGATTTGACAAGTGTTGCGACTAACTGGCGCGATGCATGCGGATCATTTCTGATGCCACTGTGTCTTTGGAAGAGCTGGAGCTAATTGGAGATGTTAGTCTTTTATCTGACTTGGCATCCTGTTCCAGTTCCGTCTGTGCAGTCCTGTGCTCATATGAAAGTCTCTCAGGATGCATCTACTAAATGAATATATGTTTAGTCTAGCAGGTTAGTATAGCAGAATGCAGTTGTTGCAGGTAGCTGTTCATCAGGACTAGTCAGGATGAATTATCTATAGGTTACTAACTTACTAGTGATCGACTCAAATATCAGATAAGCTGATTAATCAGATGATATTTGGTCTTTTTTTAGTGGCATATTTTCTATTTTCAAGTTAGCATTGGGTTTGAGTAAATATTGTTTAAAATAATGCATAAATCAATTCCAGTTTATTTATATAATCTGTCATCATGTCATTTATTGGCAAAAATTGAAGTAATTATTGCCATTGGGAATGGGTCACAATAGTGGAGTAGTTTATTAGCAAAATTGACTAGTTTAGAAGTACTTTTTAGTATTTTTCATATATAATCGGCTGTGCTTTTAGCTGTTAAGACAGTTGCACAGTTAAACCTTCTTAGTTATGTATTTATTTACCTATGTAATACATAACCTTCAAAGTTATGTATTTAAAGTCATCCTATCCATTTTTGGTCATTGCATTGGGTGTTTTAAGCATCATGTTATAAGTGTTGCATATTTTGCATAAAGACGTAATGTCAAGTTGAAATAGTCATTGTACAGGGCACTTCTGATCATTTAGATTATATTTTAGTTTTGCATGTGATTAATTGGTATCAGTCAGAATGTCTATATCTGTACATCTAGTCTTCATTTCCAGACCTTTCCTTCAGTTAATATGTCCATATTTATTGAGGGTCAGTTCTGGTTCTTCAGGATTATCCAGAACTTTTCACTGGCCAAAATAATTAATCATAGATAGCCTATATCTGAATGCCAGATGGTTTCACCAAGATTTCATCAGACCCTGTTATAAATGAAAGGTCTGCTTATTGATTTCATTTTAAAAATAGACATGACCTAACAAAATGCTGAATTGGTCACGCAAGACTTGCCCATCAACAATAAAGCATATTTTATTTGAATGTCCTGCTTTAAATTATATTAGGCATTGGTTTTATTCAGAAGGGCTATTATTAAACGTGCTTAACAAAAAAAAAAGTTTTTGGTTTTCTGTCAAATATAAAACTGATGGGCTTATATAATTAATATATTTTTATAGTGTTGCGAGAAGTATTTTTATTATATAATATTTTTTAAATAATTGATTGATTTTAAATTAATAGAATGTATTGATTTATTTTAATTGTTATTATGATTATTATTTATACCACCACAACTGAGATTGTCATGAAAATAGCTATAGCTGCTGCTGTCATGGCATGAAATTAATTACTGCATCAACATCAATACAAAATGCACTTTAATTGCAAAAACACTTTTTTTTTAAACCAATCTTCCGCTGTGAAAGCAGTAAATCCGACTCCATTATCATATTGTTTTACCTGACGTGTGTTGTTCTCAGAGCAGGTCTTAAATAGAGTTGGTCTTAAATTGTGTGTGTGTGTGTGTGTGTGTGAGAGAGAGTGTGTGTTTGGACAGTGGCCATCTGCACGCTGAAGGATTGATTCTGCTCTTCATCACACGAGCCCATCTGTCACGGCAGGCTCACTCTCACACACACACACACAAACAAACACACACGCACACAAACACACACGCACACACTGTTATTGGCTAGTTTGGGTGATTCTGTGCTGCAGTAGTAGTAATCCTGGTTAATGCAGCAGAGTTACCCTTTAACCCCAGAAACTAAGATTAGACTAAGATTCCTGGATGAACGTGCTGTAATGTGCAGCAGTGAGTTAAGCGTGAGCAGAATTAACTCTAACTCACTAGTCCTAAAATTAACACTCTAACTCTCTAACGGTTCCCAAGATCATTGCAGCCACATGCAAAATACTGAGGATTCACTTTAAAAAAAAATAGCCCATCTAACTTGGTTTAATTGCCTGGTTTAAATTAATTAATAAAAAAAAAAAAAAAAAAAAATTACTCAAACTTAAACTTGTCTAAAATTAAAGTGAAACTATAAAATAATGAAAATGCAAATAAATTAAAAGTATTAATAAAAACTATAATAGTATCTCAGTGAGACTGAAATAACCCTGGTTTGAGCCTGAGATCAGTTCCACCCATCTGCTGGTGCTTAAATTATTATATTTCCTCCATGGTACATTTCTGTTGTCAGTATGGATATTATTGTGAGTAGCTTCCTTACTAATAATGGAATTATTCTATTGTATTATTATTATTTTTGAATTATTAGTGTTGTTTACCTGTTATTGGTGTTTGATAATACAGTCTTTACTATTACTATTGCTTATAAAGTTTTTGGAAACCACTATTAAACTTTAGTTAAAAATGGTTCTGTTATTAATCTTCAAAGTGGTCAAATGTATGATTTTCATTGTTGTGGACAGTAAAATAGGTGACGCAGTAAGCAATCTCAACCTCGCAGCCTTGCAGAATGTGATAGAAATGCCCTAGCAATCCATTAGCAGTGCTCTAAAAACACCCCAGCAACGGCGGGTTTAGTTTTTCACAGGCAGTCTGTGTTCAGAAGTCTAAAACTCTTACTCATGTTTTTGCCCTTTTGGTTTCACTGCAGAAACACCACCGGAGACGTGAATCATGCTGTTTCTGCAGAGTCGGGCAGCGTTGAGAAATTATGCAATCTTATGCATCATCTGATGTACACCAGAGCACTTTTTTTATTGAAATCTGTATGATATTGTTAATGCATTTTGCATCTTTTAGAGCTGGGCTGAGAGTATAGCTATAACTGTTTACTCCGTTTTAGTGCACGTTTATTGGAAAGTCAAATAATGGTGCTTTAATATTTCCGTTGCAGTAATAATGAAGAGCGTGCATGAAGAGTAAGCGGGTTGTGTGTGTCTGTGTGCAGCGTTGGGCGCGGCGTATGGCACGGCGAAGAGCGGCACGGGTATCGCTGCCATGTCCGTGATGCGTCCGGAGCTGATCATGAAGTCCATCATTCCTGTGGTCATGGCGGGAATCATCGCTATATACGGGCTGGTGGTGGCCGTCCTCATCGCCAACAGCATCTCAGACAAGATCACGCTGTACAAGTGAGTTAAACGGATCATCACTGACTCAAAAAAACAACAACAGAAAAAACATTTGTATTACTTATAATATGAATAATTACTATTATACTTTCTTAATGATACTAAAATAACAGATTTATATTATGTCGATACCAAAATTTGATGATATTGTAGAAAAGATTGGCATTGTATTGTTTTTTAGACACATTTATGCAATTCTTTTAAATGTATTTAATATAAATGCATTTTAAATTAAATTTAAACCGTTTTAGTGCACATACATATATATACGCATACATATAATTTTATTTTTGTTAATTGCTTAATTTGTTTTTAAGCACTGATTTACTGCAGATAAGTTTCACTATTTAAAAATGTTTCCTTGAATTTTTCTATCAGACAAACATGGGGTCTCATTCATTAATAATTATGTGAATTATTTCCATTTCCAAAAAATGTTCCAACCCTTTATTTATTTGTCATTTGTGACCCTGGAGCACAAAACCAGTCATAAGGGTCAATGTTTCGAAATTGAGATGGTTTGTTAGGATAGGACATCATATTTAGAATAGATAGATAGAAATAATATTTGGCTGAGATGCAACTATTTGAAAATCTGGAATCTAAGGGTGCAAAAAAATCAAAATATTGAGAAAATCAACTTTAAAGTTGTCCAAATGAAGTTCTTAGCAATGCATATTACTAATCATAAATGAAGTTTTAATATATTTACAGTAGGACATTTACAAAATATCTTCATGATACATAGGGCTGCACAATTAATCGAATTTCTAATCCAGTTATGGATGCCACAATTACGTAATTGTCCATTTATGTTATTCTGCGTGCTTAAGATATGTTTTTTTCTTTCTACATGTTATCTTAAGGGTTTTCCCATTGTTTTAGTTTTAGTGTAACATTATAATACCATTCATATTTTAACTTTTTTATAATTTAAATTAGAAACCAATCCGATGTATATTTGACATTTGAAGGCTTAATACTATAGAAAAGCACTAAAGGTTTTTCAGTTAGTGTTTTCAGCTTGTTTATTTTCATATAAATATACGGCATGCAGTTGCATCAAACAATGGTATAAACATCATTCAATGTAAATTGTGCTTAATAATCGCAATTACAATTTCAAGGGAATAATCGACAATTATGATTTTTGTCATAATCGTGCAGCTCAAAGAAACATGATCTTTACTTAATATCCTAATGATTTTTGGCATAAAAGAAAAAAATTTCATTTTGACCCGTACAATGTATTGTTGGCTATTGCTACAAATATACCCCAGCGACTTAACACTGCTTTTGTGCTCCAGGGTCACATTTATGTAATTCTTTATTTTAGCAACTAATGGATTGTTGTGTGTGTGTGTGGCAGGAGTTTCTTGCATCTGGGTGCAGGTCTGAGCGTGGGTCTGAGTGGGCTGGCGGCTGGGTTCGCCATCGGCATCGTGGGAGACGCAGGAGTCCGTGGCACCGCTCAGCAGCCGCGCCTCTTCGTGGGCATGATCCTCATTCTGATCTTCGCTGAAGTTCTGGGTCTCTACGGCCTCATCGTAGCCCTGATTCTCTCAACCAAATAAACTGGCAGTCAGCATGTGGCGCTGCCGGACCGCAAGACGGGGCACGTGGAACAAAAAAAGTGGGAAGGGGGGGGAAAAATAAAGGTACCTTAAACTTAAATGAAATTAGATGAATTGAGAGGTGGGGAAATAATCCTACACATTATAACAGGCTCTGCGTTTGGTTTTATCTCTGAAAGTGTACAGTCGTCCCAGTTTGATAGTTTTGATTTCTTGTAGATGCGGTAATTAGTGATTTCGTCCTGTGTCTGTGAAGAAAAAAAAGAATAATAATAATAATGCTGTAATAGATCTCATTCTCTGTTTGTTTCCACACCCCTCCTGCCTATCGAGCTGTTAGCCAATCACGCGTTCTCTTTCGCTCCCTTCATGTTAGAGACGGAAATGCAGGAACGCCTCTGGTTCCTGTCTCTTCCTGTCACGTGATTTGGGAGTTTTATACATTTCCACATTGGTGTCAAAGAAGTGTTTGTGAAGTGGAAAAACGCACTGGCGAATCTGTATGTGGAATGGAGTAGTTTTTGTTAACGTCCTTTTTTGTTTTCCACTGATTTTATTTATTAAGAATATTGTTCATGAAAATGTACTTGAAGCTCCTCAGATCCTTTGAATTGATATTTATATAAACAAGTATAAATATATATATAAATAAAGATCTATATATA